TGCTTTCCCTAAAATATCTTTTACATTTCCTGCCCCAAATAAGTTCCTAAAAAGCAAAACCAAAACTCAACCCCATCAACTAAAAAAGAGAACTGCAGCAAGTTACAAAAAATCCTGACACTGATTTAGTGACAGTGCCTAGAAAGGCTCGATTCTCTTTGGAGGAGGAAGTTGAGTATGGATTAGAAATCACAGCTACGAATAACACACTCCTCCTCCTCTTAAGCAATGCAGGGCCCACTCAGGATAACAGGTAAAGAATTCTCAGCTGTTTGCTCACAGAAACAGGGTTAGGAAGAAACACTTATGAGAGATCTGGTCTTACATTTATGGGAACTGGCTATCAAGTCTTGTTCAGGAATTATGCATTCCAGAGGCTCAGTCCTAAAGAAACACACAAGCAAACCAGTTAGTGACAGAAGTGCCTGCCCTCCAAACCTACCTTTTCCAAGCATACATTTCTGAATGGGACACAAAGGTCTCCAGAGCCACCCCTTCCCACTGCTCAGAACTTCAAAGGGATTCATTGCTGCTTCTGCCCTTCCCCCTGTACCCACTTACTCCATGTGCTGCTCAGAGACACATGCTTCTTTGTTGGCCTGTCGAAACTCGTGGAGCTCAGCAAAATATTGATCAGATTTTTCTTCTACTGAAGAGTTTGTATCTAGAAGCCCTGAGAATGTCAAGGAAAGAGAAAAGTTCAAGGTTTTAGTGAATTTGAGGAAGCAACCAAAGACTCAATTCAAAATGATCAAGAAAGCTAAAGGTGAGGAGAACCAAAGAGAGTAAGGAGAAGACAACATCGTAACATCAACTCAGAGATTTCTGCTGTGACCTTGGTTCCTCAGTGCATCCATCCATTTTTGGTTGCTTGCTACCCCTCTAACCTTTGCCATTCGCTGCTTGGATTCTCACACAGTTGCCACTACACTATTTCAGTGAAGCACAGTTCACATTTGTCATGGGTGAGGAACGGCTGCTGACAAAACTTCAGCTCCTCTGCTGATCCCTGCTCTGCGGGCTCTAGGCCTGCAATTCTGCCACACTACAATACTAACAGAGGGTAAATCATGTTTTAACTCTTGATATTACCACATCGTGCTGAGAGCTTTGCTTCAGGTTTAAGATTCACCTGCAATCCAGTCGTAGCCCAGGAACGGACGCACGGACCAGCTACTCACAGGCACAGTGTATTCGTCAGGTTCAGCTTGAAAAGTCACACGACCAGCTTCCTTCTGGGGAAAAAAACAAAAAACAAAACAAACCAGGAAGACCTCCTATACATCTAGCATGAGATTCATAGCTACAGCTAGGGAGATAAATAGCAGTTGTTTAAGTAGGACAGCACCAGGTTAGTTTGAGGCTGAAATCTGTCCATAGCTCTAACAGCAATTTGCTACAGCCCTCTGCCTTCTCAATTCACAGAACTGATGTTTTATATGTAGCATTCTCTTGACTCCTCCCCTCATCATTCTACTGACTTATGAAAACAAGCAAGTCTTTGGTTTCACCACTTACCTTCAACCCTTTGGACTGAGATGTCAGCAGGATTGATTTAGGTGTTGTGGCTTCCTTGGAGGTCTCTTCACTTTGTACTCTGTTTGCTGATGGGTCCAAATGACCCCTAAGATCATTCTTTTCACTGGAACCACGTGGAAGAGTGGTCTGTCTTCTGTTCTTTTCACGTCCTAGAAGGAAGGAGTCTGCCTCTGCACTTCCTTGAGCATGGCTATCCCCAACCAGTCCACAAGTTTCTCTCTCACATGTAATGACTGCAGGCACAGGTATAAGATTTTTCTCTTTAGCAGGAAAGCAGGATTGCAAAACTGATTCCTGCATCCTCGTTTGTTGCTGCACCCCTCTGTCATTGCTGCTGTGTTTGAGTGATGAACAGAGGGCTGCTCTGGCTGTGCAGGCTCTGGGTTCCACAGACACCAACGTTGCAGGATCATGCTGTGTGCACACACGATCAACTTGATTTTCCTTCTGTAAGAATAAAGACACTTCTACCACATTGCACCATTAAGAGTACAAGCATTTTTTATTAGGCCAATTTAATCAGCAAGAGAAGCATCAGCCTCTCAGCTTGGTCTGCTCACCCCTTAAATTTCTGTTGGGAAAAACATAAAATCTTAATGTTATCCATGAGATCACTATTAAGTGTTTGGAGACGATAAGAAAGGGATTCATTTATAACTAAATGCAGCTCATTCCCAAGCCGAGAAACTGCCAAAATTTCAGCCTTTGTGCTCTGAAGAAACAAAAGGATTTTGTTCCATGATAATCCTTCCTATCTCATGTTAAAAATCCCACATTCGTCAGGCAGCAGCTGATCTCTGAACTCTTTGCACTGAGAACACATCTGAGACAAGAAGACAAACAACAAAGGTCCAGCTACTGTTCAGATGGGCTCTATATTTCATTTTCCACCAGCTGCTTCATGTTCTTGTGTCTCCATCATGCTGCCCTACAGGCAGAGCTACTGCCTACCTACCATATGAGGCCCATTTGATACTCAGCACTTTCAGCACAGACCTAACACATACCCCTCTCTTGGGCAAGGGGACAGATGCTTCAGCAGTTGCTCTATTACAAAGAGATGCTGGAAGAAGCGGCTTGCTGGGAAGACTTTTTCTTATCTCTTCCTGCTTCACTCTGAGCCTTTGTAGAAGGTCCTGGTTGGCCTGACGCAACCTGAGGTGCTCTGACTCCATCCTATGGACGTGTCCTCCTATAAAGCCAGAGGAAGGGTGAACTGCATCAATGGAGGTATGAATTGAAGAAGCAGACATGGGAAAAAAAAAAACACAAAAAAACAACATTACACTTTCAGATGACTTTTCATAAAAGTCACAGGGTTTGTTGGGAGTTTTGATCTTTGAACGTTATCTTTGAGAAATCAGCCAGCTTCAAAACTCCTTATGCTAAGAACCAGCACCGCTGCATATATCTCTGACCCCCACATGTACTCAAGTATTTTCTACCCAGAGACTGGCATATGATTTAAATAGAGGCAGGAAACTCTGACATGGAAAACAGTAAACGTGAAATGTCACATGTCACAGAAAACCAGATGAAAGATGTTTCAGATATCTAGAGCAACCATACATGAATCCACTTGAGACTTATTTTCAGAATTCATAGTCTGATGATACCTAGACACTCACTCAACACACAAACAGTGAGTATTTCTCTTTTAGTACAGCCAAAACAAAGTCTGAAGTGTCCTCCACGGTCCCCAGGCAGGAAGACTTCAAAATGCTCTGTCTTTGGCAAAAGCTATTAGTCAGGGGCTCCTGTATTACTATGTTTCCCTATGATCTCTGGTTCGAAAGGGTCCCTAAACCTTTTCCTAAAGTTCATCTGATTTGTTTTTGTTACCTTGGCAACATTAGGAACCAAACACACACACATTACAACGGGGGGGGGGAGGATTGGGAAGGAAGGAGTGTTAATTGAAAAACCCACAGCACGTTTTTGTTCCAGTTACAATAAGGGTGCACAACTGGGTGCCTTATAGAAATATCTGTCTTGAGACACTATGTTTCTTTGAGATGATTTAAGCAAAACGAAAGTTCTCATGGTATTCCTAGGACAGAGCTAACAGCATCCCCTCATTGTTGCTCATTAGAAAGCCCATACTCAGAAATTAACATTAGTCACAGGACTTTCTGGAAGGGTATTTACCAGACGAGACCCATTTTTCACACAACCAACATGAAGCTGCCGAGCACAAGCCCAAGGCTGAAGCTTGTGAAAGCTGTAGTTACAACATTTTGAGAAAGGGAGCTACGCCTCGGGAACGAAGTAACCGCATCTCCAGCAACAGCTCCGCAGCGCTGCCCAGGCCCGGTTCCGGGCAGCACAAACTGGGGCGGTGCTTCTTTCCCTGCCCTCCGAAGAGGCGAGCCTGGTAGACTCGACAACCCCTCAGCCCCGTGCAGAGCACCGCGTGGGAGCAGCGAGCTCTGACCCTCCCCGCGCCACGCTGCCGGGCCCACCTGCGCCGCACAGCCGGGGATCCCCGCCCTCGCTTCGGGCTTCCCCCGGGCAGCCCCGGACCCTTGGCCGTTCCCGCAGCGCAGCGGCCTCCGGGCATGCGCGGGGACAGCGGCTCCGCCTCCCGGCGGGGACAAAACAGGGGCGGAGGCACAGCCCCGCTGATGCTCTGCTGGGCGCGACCGGCGGCCCCAAGCGGCAAGGAAGGGAGAAAGCAGGTAAGTGTGAGAACGTCTTGCTGGAAACGTCCTTTTCCGGAACGGAGAATGCTGATTCACCGCCGCCAGTCTGTTAACGGAGTATTTGCTGAACGTTACTTCTTCGAATATTCTCGAGAAGTCAGAGCCAGGCTTGACATTTTTAGTGTGTATCTTCATAATGTCAAAACCTCAGATCATTCAGCACCGTCGCTCTCTTCTTTTTCACTGTGAAAACAGATTAAAGGTCACTACCACGTATGCAGTTTCCCACGGCAGTAGCACGTCACCCTCTGGAGGACTCACCTGGAGCACTGCGTCCACATGAGGGGTCCTCAGTACAGCAGAGATGGAGAGGAGGGCCACAGCAATGCTGCCTGATGGAACGTGAGGACAGGCTGAGAGCTGGGGCTGTGCAGCACGGAGGAGAAAAGGCTGCAGGAGAGCTGAGAGCGGCCCGTGTGTCTAAAGGGGCTGTAAGCAAAAGGGGACAGACTCTTCAGCAGGGCGTGTGGAGATGGGATGGGGAAACGGATTCCTGCTAAAAGAGGGGAGACTCAGGTTGGATATAAGGAAGAAGGGAGGTGAGGCATTGCACAGAGTGCCCAGAGAGGAGGTGCAGGCACCCAAGGTCAGGGGATGGGGCTGTGAGCACTGATGGAGCTGTGGGTGTCCCTGCTGAGTGCAGGGTTGGACCTGATGGCCTTTAGGGTCCCTTCCAGCTCCAACCATTCTATGGCCCAAATGCATCATACTTACACTTGCAGACTTTGAATCGAGATACACAGAACACAGCAGGAGAAATACTTTTTCCAATTCATTTTTATTTTGGTTTCCACTGCTTTTACAGCATTTATACAGGAATAATTCATGCAAATTTATCACCTTAAATACAGCAGAGAGAAAACTCACTGGTAAGAGTATTTCGAAGAGCTCCATCAACATAACACAATGAAGGTACATAGCAGCAACAAGATAAAGTGCACTGAGCTGTCGCCCTTAAATAAGAGCTTGGGGAAGACTGCTTTTAGAAGTACCTAAATTCCCAGGATTAGTTTATTATTTCTAAAGAAAAGCAGAAGATAACCTTCTTGCTAATAGTGTTCATTCCTCCACCAATCTGAATTAAAGAAGTACTGTGTTGGAAGGTCTTTCTGTTAGAAGTCTGATTTGTGATCAACCAGCTGCTATTGACAGGGTTACAGATGCACTTGAACAACAATTATCTCCCACGTTAGCAGTTTTACTTCTTACAAAATCCAGGCAGTTCTTTCCTCCGTTCCATCTGTTAACACTACAGTGAGAGCACCTCCATCACCAACATCTGAGCAGCGCCACAAACACGCACTGCCAAGACACCGCGTTCTGAGAACACACCGATCTCTTTGCCTTCACAAATCTGACCCCAGCTCTGAAGATCAGCTCACTGATCAACTTCCTCTAAGGCCTGCTGAGATCTAGCAGCACGTCTCCAAGGGCGAGGTCGGTATTTCAGGTAGTCAAGAGTTGCTGACCAATGCATCATCTCCTTCTGCCTGGAACTGGCAGTTTCCTGTTCTACCAGGGATCTGCTTCATGTGTTAACTCAGCACTGTACACTGCTTGTTATAAATATGTATGTAATAGCCTGGGAGACAAAGAGCTCCGCTGTAGGTATTGTGTGAATTCAGAGTAACAGCCCACAGTGCCACTTGCTCCAGCATACTTCACTACAAGCCCAGAGAACACAACACCAAGGGCAAGGACTCACATTTCTCTCTCAGCCATTCTCAGTTCTGGTCCAAACCACAGTTGTGTACTGGTGGCTCCCTGAGGAAACTGAACACAGCCAATGAAGTGCTCTCTGATGAAAATAGCTTCCTGGTTTGGGCTGAATTCAGAGCTGTCCTCTGAAAGTGAAAGCTGCGTATGCTTCTTGCTTTTCAGGGTCACAATGAGAATCTGCCAGCTCCAACGTAACCAAGATAATTCAAGCCTTACTGCAAATCTTAACACAGCCTGAAGTACTTACTGCCACTTCACTATTCTTTCCTTGAGTGTCAGGCAACTTCTTTCTGGAGCCTCACATGAAGCAGAGAACGTGTCACAGGCACATATATTCATACCTGAGCATGAATGAGGAATCAAGGCTAGCAAATTTCATTTTCAAGTGAAAAATCTCTCTGTTGTATAATAGAACAAAAAAGAAGCACCTTAGTACTCCCAAATTCAGCTGTCACTTGCTCACATATAATTCATATTCTCCAATGTTTGATTCTGAACAGATTTAGGTTGACCCTAACCCCAGAAATGCAGGATTAATTCTGGATTATGGAGAGACATTTTGTGGGCTATATAAAGATCATTCCCAAAACGTGGTAAAGTACATATCCACCAAGTGGAAAATCAGTCTTGCAGCTCAGGAACCTGATCCTGCTATTACTGAAATCAGTGGGAATTCTTCTGCTATCAATTCCAGAAAGAAGAGGCTCCAGTCCTCACAATGCCCAAGTCTCATAATCAAAATTTAGAATTGTTTCAGGGCAAAACTCAATTAATTTCATCTATTTGTAAGTAAAAGACATCTGGGAAAAGAAAAAAATGACTTAACCCATTCTTACCCCAGCATTAAATAGGAAGGATAGGTCTCTATCATCATCCTCACACTTTTAACAGAAACAAATCTCATTACTGCATGGACTTGGATCATCCTATGGGAACTCTACATGAAGTGAAATCTCTTACAGCGTGTGATCCCTGTGCTGCCCTCATGGCCAGCTAATGGTAATGGAATTCCAAAGGCCTGCTTCCAGAAACACTGCTGTGCAATTACCAAACCCCACATTCATCAGCCTGTCTCACAAGGCAACCTGTCAACTGATTCATCTTTTCATTCCTGATTTCCTTCTTCAACAAACTGTTAATTATCATCACCACTTCCTTCATAGCAGCTTGCTATGGCTTTGCAAATTAGCTGCCTACAATGTGAAATGAGCCAGACTGCATTACTGAAGAGCTCTGAAGAGGAAGAAATTAACTCAGAAGACAATAAAGGTACCAAAGCAAAAATCTTAGTCCCTTTTGCTCTGGAAGAGAACTAAGTTTTGTTCACAGGTTTAAACGTGCTGACAAAAATAAACCTGTCCATGAAAATAAACAGTGCAGCAGATCTCTGCCATGTTGTACAATAACAGAAGAAGAAGCTAGGAGATAGGTTTGCACAGGCTACGAAAGAGCTGTGAAACTGTTCTAACTGTGTGCATAAGATTGCTGTTTAGAAAAACAGCTGCTTGTCACATACATAAACTTGGGGCTTTGAAGCCAAAAGCTCCACCTTCATGTAGTAAGATGAGTGACTCCATAAAAAACGATGTGTTAGAGTAACTTTTAAACTGATGAACACTTGTTTATAGAATTCACTGTTACTGTACTTCATTTTGATTTTAGAAGCCTCCTGTAAATGTACAAAGCACACATTCCTTCCAACGTAGCTTGTTCTCCTAAGCAGGAAAAGAAGAGCTGCAACAGCTAGTGTTGAAAGGTGGGACACAAAACAAGGATGCTGAATCCTACTGTTCACACAGCAACTGGAAACTGGCAGGAGCCTTTTGCTCATTCCCTTTAGGGATTCCATCACCCACCATATTCTCTGCAGTAACTGAAGGAGCACTGAAGGGAAACAGCGTTGTTTTTCTCCTCTTCCCACACTATCTGCTTTGCTGCAGGTACTGATGTGTGAACATGTTAAGTTCACTATCGAGCCAACCCGCCTTATTCCTGGAAAGACAAGAAGTCTCTGTTAGGTGAATAAAATCATTCTTCCCAAGGCAATCTGAAAGAAACATGAATAAGACTACTCCACAGCAAGGCATGGAGAGGAATGCCAATGGTCCTTGTCTCCTTCAGGTCAGGAACACCATCCTGCCAACAATCCCCAGCTTCAAGGCTCATAGTGAGATCTTGGTCACAACTTTAAACTGGTCTTATTATTTGTGTTGGGTAAGGTGTGTTAAAAAAAATTATCCCCAACAGCTTTTGCAGGGTGAAGACAAACATCAGACTCAAATCTGTGCAATGGCAAGGGTGAGACTTTTTAGATGATTTTCTAATTGCCTGGAAAAGTTTGCAGGAGTAGAGGACTGTACATTTTGGTAAACAGACAAGAACTGTAATTTTGTACTAACTAAAAGTAAGAAGGAAATGGGATTTTAATGAGACAAAAGATTTAAATGACTGTTCAGAGTATATGGGCTGAGCATCTCTCCTTCTTCTAACAAGTTAAAATAACAAAAAGCACTGCTGACCAACACCTCAATATCCTTTCTCACCCAATAATCTAAGTGACTTTTCTTTCTACTTGAGGCTGCAGAGTATTGTTTTGATATTTCCACCAGACATTTTAATACATTGCAGAAAATTGTTTTCCATGTAACGTTAAAAAGGAACACAATACAAAAAGATGTTGATGTCTGCAAATCAAACACTATGATGAAAGAAGGACTGCCCTCAGAGGTGCACCCTCATCTGAGCATCTTGGGGCAGCCACAGGAAAACCAATTATATGCAGATGTTTGTGTAGTAAGAAAATCTCACCTCAGCAATTTTGCTTTGCTCTGCAGTGAATCCAAAACTTCAATTTTCTTATTCATGGCAGAAATTTCCTGCTCAAGATTCTCCCGTGTAACATCCACTTGCTGACATAACTGAGCAAACGTTCCAGCAAGCTCTCTGTGAAACGGGAAGAACAGTGTAAAGTAAGAATGAAACACAGAATTCAAGGAATAAATGCCTTCGATGAGTGGTGATGACACTGATTCAGATGCAAACATCTTTCCCTTCTGCACAAGAACACGTTAGAACTGTCAGAGAAATGTGAGACTGAAGTACTAAGACTAGAGCTTTAGAAATACCCACATAGGATACCATGTTTATTAAGAAAATCAACAAAGTAACCCACAGATTCTCCTTAAAACACATGTATTATTATATTTTTTAGTCCTGAGTTCAGTGAGCAGATATCTTGCTTTAAGAAGCAATATCACCCTAAACAAACAAAGCAAAAAACAGAAATTAAAAAAAAAACAAACAACAGGAGAATTCAGATAAAGATGTTAGGTAAATATAGGCAACCTACTGTTGGACTTGGTGGCTGCAATTAGATCCTGTATAGCTGACAATAAGCTGCAGTTTCTCTCCAGCATATTCTACAAACTGCCGTTTGAAAGCTCTCTCCTTCGCTTTTGTGGTCCAGGTGAGGCGTTCATACACGTAAAGCAGCCCATAAAGACCAAACGAGAGAGCAATCAGCCTCCAGCCCACAGCCTTCCAAACCTAAAACAAGCACAGGGGAAAACAGATGACACAGCTGCTATTAGAAGTGATGCTGCCTCCTGGCAATGGTGCACTTGTACTTTAGGCACATGAGAGTCAGCCAGAAACCTCCAACAACAACCCTGACCTGCAAGTAGTTTCACTGATCAGAAGCTTGCTACAAATGTTCAGCCTACACACTTAGAATACCTGCAGGTTAACTTCTCCAGGTCATTAAAGTCACCTTTACATGCACAAATGAAGTTGGCCTAGCTCACAGAATTCTCATTTCTGAAGGAAAAACCATTTTTAGGGAACCACATTCCTTTTGACAAATCATCCACCCCCCACACGCTCTGAGAAAGCACAGAGGTAAGGAACTTACTGGAGAAGCTTCGTGTTATTTGTAGAAAATAAACTAGTTGCCATACAACTCGAGTTAAACCTCTATTACTCTTTTCTTCTGCAGTTTTGGGAGACAACATTCTCTTGTTTTTCCACAAGATAGAAAAGTAGGCAGTGCTGATTGTACATGAAATAAATTAGAGCATCTATAATTAAGTGCTCTCCTCCTGTTCCAGGTAGGAAGGTATGCATCATCAGAGGATCTAAGCAGAAATCTTAACTTCAACCTCAGTTCCTAGTCCTCAGTCAACAGGAAAAATACATTTTTCCTTCTATTCTCACAAGAATATCAGATTTTATAACACAATTTGAAAGGCTTTTATCTTCACAAAACCTCTGGTTCCCTACGTAACTATTGTGCAAAATTATGCTCGACGTTTTATCTTCTATTTGCACACAGAAAGCGCTTTGCTATCTGTGAACTGGAAATATCCACAGGTCTCTGCAGTGACTCGACGCCAGCACCCCGAGGTTATTTAATCTAGATGCTCCTCAGATTGTCAACCCACCACGCCACCAACCACGATGATCCCCATGGAAGTTCGGGAAGTTAACGAGGCCAGTCCAGTGACCATCGACACCATGAGTTCTTCCTGGGTCATAGAACCCTGAGGCAAAGGAGGCAGACTGGGATTTGCTGGTGTTAAAGGGCGTTGAATCTAATTAGAAAAGCATGGAGAAAAACAAAGGAAACAAAAACAGAGTACAGAATAAAAGAATGCAAGATGTTGCCCTTCCCAGCAAAAACTGTTCAGCAGGCCCTGGAGTTACTGATACCCCACTGACCCCTGACCACTAAGTTACCTTACCTGGTCATTATAGCCCATCAAGGCCCGCCGGCCATTCTTTGGTCCCAAAAATCTGTTCACCAACATCGTCCATCCAAGAGAGAAATGGAATTCTATGTCTTCTTGGAAGTCAGCACAAAGCTTATCACAGTTCAGATCATAGCTGAGTGTGAAGCATTGCCGGGGAATTAACATGTCTATCTGGCCTCGCAGGGAGAGTGGGAGCAGTGGTTTTAAGCCATCTGCAAGAACAGAACATAAACTCATTTAGAAAATAGGAAATTGAGTTCACAGTAATTAACTGGACTTGCATTCCATAATCAGAAGGGATATTGGTTGTTCCATCCTCTGCAGTTGTTTTTGTGAGTATCTTGAATTTTCTGAAGCCAAGCAAGTTGCAATGCAATCAATTCATATTCAAAAGGATGCCTTTCCATGGGCATTCCCAAATCTCTAAAGGTAGCTATAGTGTACAGTTTATCAACAGCTTGAAAAACAGGAGGCCAATTCTAAAAGTGCTTCTCTCTCACTAACAAAGGATTAAGCTGATTGATTAGATTCATTACTAACGCACTGAACAAGTTTAGCCAAAGAGTGGAAAAAGCAGGAATAACTCATGCTCTACATATAAGTGCTACTAATCATGATGGAAACTAAGACAATGCCACCTGCAAACAACCATCAGAGGAATAAGAAACCCAGAACATCCACCTAGTTATTCTGCATTACAGTAAGAGGAACGAAGGGTAATATTGCCTGCAGAACTGACCTATCATTTCTTGCTGCATTGTCTGCAGGGAAGCTGTGATTGCATTGGAACAACGATCTGACATGTTACGGCCCAGGCCTTCCTCAATGTGTTTATGGAGCTCCTGACAAACAGAGAAGGGTTACTGAGATTAAATAAAAGGAAGATACAAGTTGCAGGTGCTAGAGCTTCCCAGGTAAAAAAAGCTTCCAAAGCAAGAGCATGCATTCCATCTGCCCACTCTTCTAACATTAGTTTCATTTTTCTCCTTCCTTCAGTGGAGGAGAGGAAAAAACAAATCGTGCAATCTCACAAGTATGCTGTAGACTGGAAAGGTTTTGTTTGAGGTACATAATGGAATACGCCATACGTGTACCTGTTTAATGCTGAGGTTAGTTTTAAACATAACTTCTTTTTTTAACACACCATTTTTCACAGAAGCTATCCCAATGCAAAACAAAATCTAAGAGAAGACACTTTGCAATATTAAAAACTCAGTTCTTCCTAGTTGGAAGAATGTTAAGTATCTCCAAGAGCTGGTGTAATTACTGACTCAGAGCCCGCTGACTAATTACAGGGTGGCTCAGAAGCTGTTAGCAATCTACAAGAAGCAAACACGACTTACGTTCTTGTAAACTTTAAGAACGACTTGAGAAGGATGGAAATCTGCTTGGTATTCATCTACCAGCACTGAAAGCCGCCTGATTTCTTCTGCCATTGCATTGGATACCTGGAGAAGGAGCCACAGGACAAAGTTACCATACTGCTGATTTAAAGCATCTTGTGAGCCTCCCTGAAAGTTACCCCCAGGTGTTCCACTCTTCCTTTTATTGCCTCAAGGAAAGCAAACAAACAACAAACCCTGCTTCTGAAAGCATTTCTTCTCTTCCCATCTGTATCTCCCACATTTCTACCCACTCAGACCTGTCAGCACTTTGCATTTCTCCCACCATGCTGGCAGCTCTTTCAGACAATCCCTTCTCTTTTTCTGCAGCCCCTCCTTACCTGCCTCTCCACTTCTTCTGTGATCTGTTTGATTTTCCGCTTGTAGTCTTGAGTGAGGAGCTCCAGCTGTTTGTCAATAAAACCCAAACGTTCCTGTCGTTCCTCTCGCATTTCCAGACAGTAAACTCTGATTGAAAAAAAGGTATCCATGGCAAAGCCAGATAAGCACATTTCTGATCTGCAAACACCTGGAACTCCAGAGACAAAAGACATTCTCCAACCCAAGAACCACGTGTACCAATATCTACAGTGCATTGCATACACACAGCACACTGGATAAAAAGGATGCTCCTCTCCCAATATTTCCACATTTTTCCTTCGCATTTTAAATGCTCATACTCTTTAATTTTCTCTCTAAGTGCAAGCTTGTATCATGAAAGCACCGAGCATCAGCATCTCCTCACCGCTGTTCCTGGGCAGCAACATGCACAGAATCCATGATGAGACGAACATCCTCTGCGATCTGCTTTGCTCTCACTGTATGCTGCTCAAATTTTGTTTTCACTGCTGACTGGGAGATACATTCCTGTACACAACAGGCAGCCAAGATTAGCAGCAGGCAGAAATACACTAACACAGCTTGTCTATTTCCTAAGTGTGCTGCCACTCCATGTACATAAGCTCCACTCCCCGGCCTTTCAGGAGTAAGCTGGGAGGCTTCAGGACTAAATGGAATGCTACAACACTTAATACTCACCTCAAATCTTCTCTCAAAGTTTTGAAACTCAAACATTCTCACTTGAAAACCATCTGCCAATGCTCCACCTGAGAGTAGGAAGGTACAAAACAACCAATTAGGTTTTCAGAAAGCATTCAGATGTTGGACATTAGGATATACTCCTGCTTTACCCTGAAGCCAATGCAAAAAAAGTAGCCAATTCATTCTCTTTTATTTTGTCTGCTCTCTTAAGAATTTGATATTTTAATAAATTGTTTTGCCTATTTGTGAAACAAGATATTCCCTTATTTTCTTTGCTATAAGAAAGGCTCTGTTAGCTTTCCTCACCTCCTTCTGGCATCCCTTGAGCCCTCTGAATCCTGGCATTCAGCACTTCTTTTGCTGACACGAAGAAGATTCGATCCCCTGCCTGTGCTCGATCCACCACACCCAGCTCATCTACCAGGAAACTGGTGCAGCGCTCCATGTGCTGCCGACGCACCTGAGGGACAAACAGGAACACCTCCACGTGCAGTTACAGCCACTTTAAGCTCCATCTCAAAAATCAGATCAGACACTCAGATGCCCTCTGCTGGTCTAAGCTACTAATATGAAAGAATAAGAAAACAACCTTGCAGTCTATAAAATCTTCCAGAAGTCATCCAAGTCACCTAACTTACAAACTGCCCGGTGAAGTTCTTGATTTCCACTTCAGAAATCTCCAGAGCCATGCTGTGACCACTAGCCTATCCTCCCTCTAGTTTCCACACTACAATAATAAAAAAAACAATCATATCTAACACTTAATGGTTCTACACACAAAGACAAGAGTCAAAACGGTTTCTATATGGACTCCAGGCAAAGAGAAGGAATTTAAATCACAAACCTCTTCCATGTACTCTGGTTCAGAGGCAGATGCATCCCAGCGGTTATTCAAAATAAATATATTGGGTCGAGACAGACGTTCATTCACCTTGTGAAAGAACTGTTTCTCCTGTGCAAAATGGAACACAATCTCTTACATTAATTTGTCAACACGCTTCAACTTCCAGCCAAATTCACTGCCCACTATCAAGTGAACTTGAACATACAGTTTGCATCAACGTTGATTCCGAATTTGCCACCAGAACAAATACATCAGCATCTAGACAGAACTTGTCGATCCAACTGTCCAGCTCTGTGGTTACATCAATGCCAGGGCTAAGAGCAGAAAGAGAAGAAACAACGTTATTCTGGTGAAATTTCAAAAACATGTTTTAAAAAGTTCGTACAAGACTTGTTTCAGCTATACAGGGCGTTATTTTCTGTGTTAGAGCCACACTGCTTTGAGGTTTTAGTTTGCAGACTGCAAACTAAAAAGGACAAATCAAGATAAACTGTGGCTATTAACTGCAGGAAAGGACTTTGGTCACTGTCTCAGATTAAAACAAGGTCACCTTCATTGACGTCTGCTAAATTTGTATTTGAATGCAAAGAAATGTGTGGTAAAGAGAAAAAGAAAGACAGATATTGTCACCTGTCCATGAGCACCAGGTCATCCTTTAAGAGAGGACATTTGGAATTGGGCCACATCACGCTGACTAGGCTGCCAGCATTCAGAAGCTCATCTTGATGGAGGGCATGAGCCAGCTGGTTTACTGTCTAAAAATGAAAGTTTTATATATCTATAACATTTCCCATATGCTAAGACAATTATCTCCCCCCATCAAATTAGTCACAGACAATTTAAGATAAAACCCAACTTGGAATTATCTCCCAAGAGTTTTCCCACACCACGTGTTTCCCCAGCCAGAAGACAACCACCCAAAAAATGTCTGTAAGAATAAGGCTGAGGAACTATCAGGAAGGCTGTAACTTTGGTCAGCCATACAGAGCTGAGAGCTTCCTGAGGCATCACTCCAACTCCCTATTAACACAATCACAACATATCATCTTCCACATACAATGAAGTCTCATGCCATAGCTTGCTTCACTCCTCCCTTCCTACACTCATTGAAAACCTGCTGTTGATCTCTGCTCCTTCAATGAATATAACCCTGAACTGTTAAAAGTCTATTCACAGTGCTTTCATTTTCCTTTTCTGGTACTGGAACACAGCTCTTCTCCTATACCTTATGCTTAAGGAAATTGTACCTTAACACTCTTCTTTTCCTCTGAGCCTTCAGTAAGTAGGAAAGCTTCATGACCATCAGTCCCTTCTACACGCAGGAAACAATTAGTGGTGTGCCCAATTCCTGAAGGAAGGACTTTGTCCCATAGCATGGCATTTATCACAGTGCTTTTTCCATTGCTTGTCCTGAAGCAAGATTAAAGAATAGCATAGCTGGGCTCCTGAGCTATTTAGGTACTTTTTTGATGTTACAAACAATAAGCCATCTAAATCAAAGCAGCTCCAGAAGTATTAACAACTTAAAAAAAAATCCCATTTTTTCTTTTAAAACTTCTTCCAAAGTTCTACATTACTTAAGTCCCATTTATTCTACAATATTTAAGTCCCATTTACACAAGTACTGGCACTAGGAACATCTGCCACACGTTGCATGCAGAAGCTGGAGCACTAATGCTTCTATAAATACTTTTTACTGGCTATGATCCTAAAGATGCAAGTTTCTCTACCAAGTAGGGAGTGCAGCCAACGTAAGCACGTGACTTACCTTCCAAAAAAAGCCACTTTCATGTGTCGCCTTGCCAGCACCTCACTAATGCCACTGACTTTTGACAAGTAGCCTTTGACTTCCAGTACCTGCTCTTCTGTGGTGACAGGATCAAGCTCTGCATTCTTGTGTGTTTCTAAAAATCAAAATACATCATGCCTCTGAATCCCTGAAGCGATCTGCCTCAGTACTAGGTGAAACATCTCCCCACAATTTAACACACACAACCAAATGCTTATCTGTATCCCAAAGTTCAGACAGGTCATGCTAAAGCATGCAGTTACACCCACCAGCATTTATTTGCCAGTCTCTTTCCTGTACCTAATAACCATTCTTATCCTCAGGACTGCTTTAAGCAGAACGCATCCAACACTTCAAACATTCCAGCACCCTTAAAAAAACTTCTCTCTGCATCATAAGGTGTAAAGCCAATTACTGTATATGTTCCACGTCACTGGCAATGACGTGTGTAGGCAAGAATACTGAAAGGATTATAGGCACACAACCAAAAGAAAGGATTATAGGCACACAACCAAAAGAGCCTTAAATGGTTCATTTAAAAAAAATAGTACACAACACACACACAGAAACAACCTTCTCCAACAACAGAAAATAGCCCATTAACTATCTGGGTTTCATAACTTACCAACTTAAGTCAGCTTTGAAATACAAATTCAATAAAATAATTTTCAGTCCCTCATACAAATACTGAGACATAAAGACAGACGTATTTATAAATAAATGAGGGTTTTGGTGTGTGCCTTGGAAACCACGTGCAGGCAAAGCACCATTCAGCTCAGCTTACCCTCCAGGAATGAGGAACTCTCATTGATGTACGCAGCCAGCTGCTCAAAGATGCCATTGATTTTCTTCTTTGCAGTGACAAAATGTTTGAGTGGAGAAGCATTTACCTCAGCCATGTGTCTTTTATCCTTCTTCACTGCAACTATTGACTTGGAACGAGTGAACAACAGGGACATTGCGCTGCAGGGAAAAAAAAAATCAGTAAGGAAAAGGGGGCTCACTGAGGCCTGACAGCCACACAACCAAGTGTCCAATATAATCATAGAATGATTGGGCTGGAAAGAACCTCAGAGATCACCCAGTTCCAACCCCTGCCATGGGCTGGGTGCTCCCCACCAGCTCAGGCTGCCAGAGCCCATCCATGGCATCGTGCTCTCAATCCCACTACATCATTACAGTACGTACACGTCTAAAATATATACTGAAAAAGATGGGGTCTCTACTGAGAGACAGAGAGACAGCCACCTAATGAGCAGACACCGACTGAAAACTACACAATACACAACCTAGAGATCATTCCACAGGAAATGCTTTATTTCCCATGCTCAGACATCTGGAAAGAAAAAAGCCCACCTTACCTGCTCACTTCCACGGCACAGCCCACCAGGGATCCTTCCCTCCCGCCCCGCTTACTTTTCAGGATGCGTTTCACTCTCACAAGCCGGACATGATCAACTCGAGTCCCTCCGGAACGCGAACAGCTCCGTTTCTCCGTTTTCACCCTCAGCTTTTTCCGCCACGCCGGATCCAGTCGCCCTCCCTGCGACAGAGGCGGACGGAGCGCGTAGGCCTCGAGCTCACAGAGCCCTCACAGAGCGGCGGGCGCGCGCCAAAAAAAAGCGGGAAGCCAAAAAAGCGGGAAGCGCCTCGACCCACGGCGCGGCCGCACCTCAGAACGGGCAGCGGCGCCCCCCCCCACACTCATCCCTGCCGCCAACGCTCACCTTCACAGCCGCTCCCGCAGCGCCGCCATCTTAATCCGCGGCGCCGCCCCCTGGGCGGGCGTGCTGTGCCCCGGGGCGCTTCGGGAGCTGTAGTACCGAGGAACGGCCCCGCTAAAGAAACACAGCCACTGAGCGTTTTGGAATAGTTTAATGCGAATTTCTTCCCCCTCCCCCCCCATCCCGGTTGGAATCTGTTTGTGAAACGGCTCCGCGCGGATTCCGATCACAGTGTCGGGCAGAGGAAAAGCACAACGAAATAAGTGGGGGAGAAAAAAAAAAAAAAAAGCTAAATAAATACATACATCACATCGATGTTTTCTCAGCCATTACCCTAAGAAGTCCCTTCATTTGGTTATAGCATGAGGCGTTACGGGTTTCGGTTAGCGTGGATTTTTACCATTTTCAACTGTTTTTCTCCCCTGGGCAAGTGGGTGTGCAGCATTAAAATGAGCCTGAAGAGCCCTCAGAAGGCAGCCCTGTGAGTTCACCCCAATCCCGATGTGAACGGACCGCCTGTGAAACAAACCAGCCTTCAGACACAGAAGGGTGTCTAAAAAGCAGAGCAGGTCTCTCACAGGCGGCAATACAAAGGCTTCGCCCTGCTCCCCCTCCACCCACAGCTCTATTCTAGGCAGTTTTTTATCCCTATTGGTTTGCCACAACCTCTCAGCGCTCACCAACCCATTTCTATTGGTCTCAACCCCACTGCAGTAGGGTGCTTTGGTTTGCAATCTCAAATAATAGAAATACCCAATAGTGATTTCCTCTAAGTACCAGAAAATAGCTCTCCTACAGCCATGGCTCAAACAAGCTGGAAGCAAAGGGAACTACCCAACTAATCACTGAGAAGTGGAATGAGGCCAAAGATCAGTGAGGCCTCAGGACTGTTATCTCACCGTTAGAGCTTTTGAAGATCTCAACATGGATAGAGCTGATCTGAGCAGCATTGAAGCCCTCCTGGCTGTAAAAACTTGATGTCATCCCTCCCCTTTGCCTGGCTTAGAATGCTCCCCTTAAACTGCGGTAACAGGAAATAAGGAGGCTGTTTTTTTTTATATATATCTTCAGACTAATCCCAGAGATAATTAGTTGACCCTCATTAACTAACACAAAACAACTATACTGCCATTGCTGCTGCTTTGAACTCTGTGACGTGTTTCCAAAGACTGTGAAGAGGTAAGGATGCAGACGATCTTCAGGCTCTTACTACTGAGTTTCATCTGGTATGACATGTAGCTGTTATGACTCCTGGAGCCAGCTCCCTGATTGTTTATGTTTGGTATACTATCCAGAAATGATTTTCTAGTGTCCCGTATATGCTGTGGATATAAAAAAGAGATTCCAGCTACTTGGAGAGAAAGCTTGTGACTTGCTTCCAAAGAGCTGGATTTCCAGTCCAAGAAAGCATTTCTGTAAAGCCAACCAAGCCATGAAGGTTCAAGTAAATCGCATTTCCAAGACACAGCGGATGAAGAGCAGAATCAAAAATGAAGGCACAAAATCTCCTTCCAAATTCTACAGCAACATTCCTAGATATGACCTGCAGTATCAGAGAGGGAGATCTTCCAGTAGTGGAGTCTTAACATTGATTAAAAAAAATCAATATCCAAATAGCTTTGATCAATGCCTTAGAAACTCTCTGCAGCATTCCCTGTTTCCACTCAAAGTCAGCAGTGAGCGGGGCCAGGGAAAGGTCCTTCCTGTGAAGCATGGCTCTAGGGGTCAATAAAAGACACTGCAATATAACGGGTTCCTTTGGTGGTTGGAAGACCTTCATGGTAGTGGGTGAGCCGTCCTGGATGCATCAGAGTCCAGCCTTTTCGTGGAGCTCGAATCGAGCAGTTGTAGCGCAAAAACCGGCAGCCTCCTCCCTGAGAGATACAGACCAAGAGACACATCAGCTTGGTTAAATCACCTAAGGAAATGGGACTCTGCCTTCTCTTGGCAGCTCTTCAGAAAGTGCGAGAAGGGAGCTGGGGAATCCATTGTACCCTAACATGCCCCAAAAGTCCCCTAGCATAACCCAGTCGTTAACCACAGTCTTCAGTGCAAAGAAGCCAGTAAAGAAGGTTGTGCCTGGAAGGCTGTGCTTCATACCCAACACGCTGGCAAACTTACCTCATAGTCTATTCCAACCCTGTTCAGAGCAATGTTAATGGTAAAGGTGGAAGCGTCATGATGGGGCATTAGAGAAGGCTGCTCATCAGGTTTGTAGCGGACCACAAAGGCTAGCTCAAACTGAGTCTGCAGGAGAGAAGAAAAGAGAGAGCATCTGTTGCAGAGCTGCAGTAGCTCATGGTTACTGAGCTGTGGGATAAGGTGTCATTTGTAAATTGCACCTCACTGCTAAGAACAGCCACAATAACACAGGAAAGTGTTACTGGAAAACTCTATTTTCTGATGCATATACTTCAAGTCATAGTTCAGCATTAGTCCTCCATACCGGGAAACAGTACACATATTGCAAGAGGATTCTAGTAGTCTTTTCACACAGCTGCTATTGTTAGCAGGTGCTGAGCTGACCACGAGTTTTGATGCCATGGTATTACCTACCTTGGTATAGTATCCCGGGTACAGTTTCTCAGTGATGGGTGCAATATAGTCCAGAAGAAACTTATACCATTCTCTTTCAAAGCCAATTTGGTTCATATGGATATCAATAGTTGGGACATTCTCATATCCTCCTTGTATTCTACTGTCCTGAAATTGAATCACGAAAAAACCAATGAGGATGGGCACCTTGGACTTCACAAACAAAAAGCACTTTTTTTCTGGTAATTACCAATAAATATGAAGTTTACTTATCAGGATTTTCAGCACAATAAGCTCATTTCAAACAATCATTAAACCCTGAAGGGCTGAACATTGTCGCACTGGTGGACAGTATAAGGACTCAGAAAAGTTAATTAACATTCAAGAGCAAGGGCAAAACCACGGAGTTAATTAAGCAGAAAATTAGCAGTATTGAGGCCAGTTTCCTGGTTTAGCTGCAGGATCTAAGGCCTTCCTAGAGCAGGCGCTACTGTCACCAAACATAAGGACAAAGTTGTCACCTGGAAATTAAACAGCTCCTGTTTTTCTTACCGTATTGTCACCTGTGGACCACTTGCCATAATGCTCCATTTCTTCCACCAGCTCATCACAAGCAGTGTCAGTGAATATGGGGAACCAGTACACATCCGGGCAGGGCTGCAGAACGTGGACAGGCGAGAGCAGCAGAAATAAGGACAAGTGCTTGAGGCAAAAGGAATATGACTAAACTGACTGTATATAGGGTCAGATTAAGTGGAAAGAGACTATAACATCAAGGATAGAAGTTTGTCTTCTGATTGATGTGTCCTACTTCCACTTTACAGAGCTGGAGATGGACTTCTAGAATAATGATTTTGCTCTAAAAATACTTTCAAGGTCACGTTTCCTCTGCATTTGAAAGACTACAAGGTCATGCTGAACTGTGCAAATGACAACAGTGATAACACAAGTGTTCTCTCATTTTGATGGATACGAGCAATGTTTTCTTACCATTTCTACCAATTTCCCTTTCAGAGCTGCTGTGTAGTTTTCATGGATGTACTTTTCTCTCCAGTCCTACAATTAAAAGGAAGAAGTCACATCTGAGGGGCCTGGTTAGAAGGGCAAACAAAAATCATGCGGTGGTGCCACAGTACTTCAAATGCTTTGAAAATCCAGATGTTATGAATCACACACAGTCTGGACCTTCCCTGTTGGTGAAGCTGGCTGTCAGATCTTCACATCCCACACAGCCTGCCAAGCCTGCAGAGCAGGCAGGTTATCTCACCTCAGGGTTGCTGAATATTTGCCAGAGGTCATTGTGGAGGTGACTTGTTTGGTAATTCTCCAGAGACAGTATGTGTCCAAACTGATGTCGATTTGTCAAGTACATGAAGACTCCCTGCAGAACAGAGAGAACAATCAAGTTTTGTTTTCACATCTCACATTTTTTGTGAGCAACTGTGAAATTAAAGCAGTGAACAGTTTCCCAGTGATGACAGCTCTGCTCAAGTGCTCATCTATTCCTTTTTTGCCTGTGCTCTTTAATTTTCATTCTGGATATGATCAACTTTGAAGGGTTATAACCAGAGTTGGTAACTCTGTGCTTACCACCAGCCAGGGTTGAAAGCAGGTCAGCTGCTGTAAGATTTGGTTCTTTCTTCTTAACCCTGTTGAGCCTTTTTAGAACAGACCTGACTAGGCCCATGAACCAGAATTTTATCTGCATTTAGCAGTCCCTGGCTCTGGGTGGTTTCACAGCAAGACAGAAATCCAGTACTGTTCCAAGCCTGCACAGGATTGAGCAATGCTGCTTCATCCTGACCCGTACCCCAACAGAGCTGAATGACTTGAAACCACTTAATCTTGTCACCTCCACACTGGTGTGCAGTTCTCCCCTGCCAGCATCCCCCTCCTCTACTGACCTGATTCCGCACGTTGTGGCAGAAAGCCATGTCAGCATCCAGCTTGCCACCGTGGAAGAGATCTCCCTCGTCAAGCTCCGATCGTAGGACTTTACCTTTCACCATGTAAACGCTGCTGATGTAGGGAACATTCCAGAGCCCACTGAAACACAGGGGTAGGATAGTGAGATTTGAAAGAGCAATAAGGCAGGAACTGTTGGGCTGGAAGGCAGATGGAAGGCGGCACCATCATGTCAGCAAGGCTTGCTGCAATGAGCCAACTTGGAATGGCAGGGAGAAACCGTGCCAACAGGAGTTGTCATTTCAGGAAAAATCATTTGTATTGCCCAGAGCTTTTAAAGAGTAAAAATGCCAGGGCACTGTGAAAGCAATTGACTGATATCGTATGTTTCTGCATGGGACATAATTAATGTCTTGAATCTCTTCCCAGAGAGATCAACATAATTTTTTCCAATTATTTTAAAAAAACTGAACCAGCTGAGAAGGCATAATCTGATTTCCAGCATTTATTGCCCCAAAAAAGGCCCCTCAAGAATATGAGTGAACCAACAATTGTACTTTGTGAATATTCCATTCAATGATCACCTACAGTATTATGAAGACAATCTAACAAAAATTAAACAGCTTTGTATGAGGTTTTACAGACTAATTGTAATCCACA